TATTATGGAAAACGAATTGCAAAAAAATCATATTTGAAATTTTCTTGATGGTAAAACTAAGTCATCAGTTGAATTTCATTCATTCATCCATTCAAAAATCAAGTCCAAAATGAAAGTTGACATGTATGTAATCCCAAAGTCTTAATCTATCTTATATAAATCATAGCATTTCATCTTTTTTCTAGGAAATGAAATTTAATTGGTAGGTCAATTTCAGGAGGATAGGGACTTTCTAGAATAAACTATTTTATGACATTTGTATATAGACATTACGTAAAAAAACATAACTTGAGATTCTAATATTGATACATTCATCGATGGAATTTCATTTTGATATTACTATTTTTTCAGTGACTTAACCTTACGCTATACTTTTGATCTTTCTCAGCTGAGTATTTACAAATACAGATGATTCTCACATTGACAGCTATACTTTTTCTGGGTGACACTTAAGTTACTACACAATTTCCAAAATAATTACATAAATGTATTTTGTAAGCAACAGTAAATATTGACAAACATCAAGATTTCAGATATGCTGCTCTTATAAACAAGTATGTTTTTAGTAGTTAAAAAACACAGACAGCTATAGTTGTAATTGCAGTATTCTTATGGTTGGTTAACCATTATTTTTTATCTAAGATATAAAGATGGCACATTTAGGCTCTAAAACATGGATATGTAGTAAAAGGTATTAATTTTCTACTGAGGTTATATTTGCACTTTGTCACACATAATTCTCCATTAATGGCCAATTCTAGTATTTCCATTCATATCTTCAACCTAATACCCAGTCAACATCAGTTTTAGTGTCAAGGAATTGGGGCAAGTCATATTAGGTTTCAGGAACCAGGTCAGGCTTTTTGATTGCTAATAATTTCCTTTTAGAANGATCTGAGAAGACGCAGGCTTCATTTCTCTTGCATCTCTTTTATTAGAGGAATCCAAGCTCCCGGGCTGGTCAGCTTTGCTGACAGGGCCACAGGAGTCGGTGAGTTTGCCATCTGGGTCTATTTGGTGGCCATTTGTGGTTTTCCCTGCAAGCTCAGATGGCTTGGTTTCAAATTTCCCCAATCCATGACTTGTTTCATCCTGTCTTCCTACACTGATAGAAATCTGGTCAGTGGGACTAGCTTTCAGGGAGCTAGAATTAGTACCAGAAAGCTGTTTAGAGGTATGCTCCGCCCTCACAGGGGTCATTCCTGCCGACCTTCCATCTTCTTTACCTTTATCCTGAGCATTACTAGGTGCCGCATTGATTAATGAGGTTTTGAGGACCTCACCTGGTAGGCTCACTGATTTATCCCCTTGGAAAGCTGCAGAAACAGCTGCAGGTGCCCGGATGTGCACCTCTGGCATGATGCCAGGGCACTGCCTCAACTCCTGAGGGGCTAGGGTGTTGTCTGACAGCTCCAACGTGTGGCTCCCGCTGCCATGGCAAATGACACGCAGCTGCTCTTGTTGTTCAAAACGCTTAGGAGCAGGGGTTTCCTTCAAGAATGCAGTGAGGATGCTGGGGCTGGTAGAAACTGATCTGCTCTGGACACTCACCACGGCCTGCACCTCAGCATCTTGCTGTGCCCTGTTGGGAACTTCCTTGATCTCGTTTTCAGCTTGATTGGTCATTGTACTTGCTTCTTTGAACCTTGACACCTGATGCTCTGCTGGTAGCAGCGCCTTTTCTGGATCTGGAGGAGACGTCGAACCTTTGCTGGTGAGGTGGGATGCTTGAGATGTCACAGAAGTCACGGCCTGGGTGTTCGAGGTGGGGACAGGGGGCTGTTTGTTCCCTGAACATCCGTCTTCTCTTGCTGAAGATTCACAGGATCTCTCCTGAGAGTCGCAAACGTCTCCCTGCCTTTCCCTTTTAGGCCCTATTACAGGAGAGGAGGCATGACTGGACACCCTGGTTGCTGTATTTGCAGTTTGCACCATTCCCTGGGTTGTTTCTTGAGAAGGAAGATCAGAGGGCACTTGATCTTTGCTGCTGCTCCAAGTGCCTCCCACAGGACAACTTGATGTCTCAGGTTGCCCTCCATCTGAGGATATCTGTGATGTCACCAGGATCTCTTCAGGTTCTGATGAGGGGCTGGCATTGGGCTGGTCCCCTGAGATGGCCTGGTGGGTGTGTTGACTGGCTGGCATTGTAAATGCTGTGTGTATACTATCCTTTCCTGCTGCAGAGCACAGGGCTGGTGCTGTGGGCTTGCTGCTTCCTGGCAGCTGGGTTTTGCCAGAAAAGTTGAGTGTGGGAGACGGTTCCTCTACCTCATTGAAGATGCCAGGAGAAGACATGCCTGGCTGGGTGGTTTCATGCTCACAGGCCTGTATCAGGGGCCCGGCAGCTGCCCTGGGGCTGAGGTCTGGTTCTGAAAGGCCATTGGTGTTCTTACACAGCAGGGCTGGCGGAGGCNATTCCTTCATAAGATTGAATAAGCAACAAAACAAGAAAGCTTTGGTAATATTTTGTGACAATCTTCAAAGTATGATAGAAGTAATGATGAAAAAAAAATTAAAGATGAAGAAGTAAAGGTTAGTTCCAGCACCAAAGAAAACCAGTTCAAGTTACTACCTGAAACATTAGTGTTACCATTAGAGGTACACCGCCACCACATTTAAATTAATTTAAGCAATTCATTTATTTAATGTGTGACAAATGCCTACAACTCTTTTAGGCCTCTGCTTCATTTAACTATTTATGAATCATGTGATTACTCCAAACTCATGAAGATAAATATTATTACCAGATGCTGAATTCTTCCTTTTCTCCTATTTTAATGCAGGAACAGCCTGTTCTAGCCAGTTCACAGCAGAGGATTACCTGGGGCCCACCCAAGCTGGAGTAGGTACTGTTGACAGCTGCCACTGTGTACACAGGGTGTACTCCATGTATACATAGCACATATGCCAACGTGTGAGGGAGACAGGCAGTAAGTGAGAGACAGCAGTGAGATGACATCCTGGAAAAGGCATCTCTGACAGAAGTGATGTGAACATTGCTACAAATGGTTATTGAAGGCCGAAAGAGAGAGTTTTAGACTAAATGTCTAATCATTAATAGTCATTTGATTACTAATCTGATGGTAATTTCTACACACAGATAGCATTCTTAATAGAGGCCAAGTGGTAGAAACTGAAAAATGTGTCATTAAAAAAATTCATCGTAACTTCCTAGTGCAACCACTGTAAGTACCATTCTCAGGCTCTGAGCATGCTGTAGCTATGTTCTACTTATGCAGGTCTCATATACAGTCCAATTGCTTGAAGGGAATTGATGGCTAGTACTAATTTAGGTGGTATCCAGGGTAGCTTGTGGTGTTAAAGTTCAGGTATGAGTTTTCCTCATATGTTCAGAATCTCCAAAAGAGAAGTAGAATTGGGAAAAAATAAAAAGCCAAAACAGAGATTTTTGAGTTCATGCAAAAATGGCATTTACGAGTCTCTGGGGAGAGAATACACAGCCGTTTGTCTCATCTAAGAGAATGAGCTCCGAGAAGATAACCAGTGCCCCAAGTCTCAAGCCACTGCTGGTCATCCTAGCCCAGTGCCCTGCAAGACACTCATGGGTCCTCTACACCGGGTCTTCTTCTGATATAGGTGAGGGCTGAGCTCAAAAACAGGTGCCCATGTTGTCAAGGACCACAGTTCATCCAGATCTCAAACAACATTTAGTGAAGCCTTTTTTTTTATTGGGTTTGAAAGATGAGATATAATAGTATTTTTCTTAAAAGCAATAAGTTTGCAGATGTTACCTTTTTGCTACAGATTACAAACTTAAGCGATTGCATGATACTAGTCGACATATAAAAACCCGTACGGAAGCCTCTGTTCTGTTTGGTGTTGACATTTTCTATTAGAAGCTACTGAACCAAATCAAAAGAAAAACACAAACTGCATCCTGTTTATAAGAGTCTAAGTTAAACATATTGTTTTTATTACTCAGGAAGCTTTCCTTTTTCAACACAGAAAAAAGAGTGTTTATTAATTGGCTATTTATAATTCCTTACTAGAACCTTAACGTTCTCAGTAGACTCTTTTTGGAGAACATCTGTACAATATAAGGTTTAGTATTATCAATAATTTGATGACTCTTTTCAAGAATTTGGTCACATGAACTTCCTCCAGGGTAAGGAAATACGTATTTAACCTTGTCAGGGTCAGAGAGGTGCACCTTACCTTCAGTGCAGGAAAATCTGTATAAATAAATCACATTTTATGTGGGCAGTATTCATACTCAAAAGCATAGCTAACTTTCCTAACATAACTTCCTTACATTTATTAA